CAAAAGCAAGGATTTAAACAGAAAAAAAGAGCCAGAGTAAGTGCACGAACTTGCAACTTTTACCCTTGGCACTGCACACTTTTTTCCCTGGCACTAAGCAGCCAGCACACTGGTAAAAATTTCAGGCTGCCTTTTTGCGCCCAGTCCAGCTATGGGTTGATTTTTACAGTTCACTTCTGACAGCAGCCCTGCGGATCCCCTTCCACATTCGTGGATCATGCTAGCCCCAACGGCTGTGGATTTTGTGGAGTGCAGACTTCCTGAACCTCTATATCCCATTTGCGCATTTCTCTCTCCGGCCTGGATCGCAGACCTCACCTTTCCCTAGGCGAAATCTGACCTTTCCGTGAGAAGGTGCAGAGCTCATCCGAGTCTGCGTATTCACACTGCTAGAGATCCAGTGTTCCTGGGTTCACAGCTGGTTGCTGGGTGTTGTGGTTGTAGAGACCCAGGCTGTATAGACTTCTGATAACAGCCACTCTCCCCTTCAAGATGGCATGGTCTCCGCAGCAGAGCTGGTCGCTCCGGGAGAAATTTCAGCAGCAGTGGAGGCTGCTCGGTCAGGGGAGCCCGGTCCAGCAGTCCCCAACAGTCGCTTGGAGTATAGCTGTCCCTCACCCACAAATATACACTCCCCATACATCCACACGCTCTCTTTTTGTTCTCCCTCTCACACTATCTTGCAGTCTGCCTTCCCGTCGGCAGCCATCTCCTTATCTAGTTCATATTTTTGATATGGGTATAGAATTCTAAGTTGGCAGTTATTTTTCTTTATTGCTTTTAAGATATTCTGTTGATTCCTGGCTTCTGTTTTTCCTGATGTAAACTTTCCTGTCAGTTTAACTGTTGCTCTTTTGCAGGTCATTTCCACCTATTCTCTGATTTTAAGATTCTTCTCTTTGTCGTTTGTTTTCAGCAGTTTTGCACTAGTGTGGTTCAGAGTGATTTTTAATAAGATATATATCTTATTGATTTTAGACAGGAGGGAGAGGGAGAAAGAGATAGAAACATCAATGATGAGAGAGAATCATTGATTGGCTGCCTCCTGCACACCCCCTACTGGGGATCAAGCCCACAACCCAGGCATGTGCCCTTGGTGGGAATTGAACCTGGGACCCTTCAGTCCTCAGGCCAACGCTCTATCCATTGAGCCAAACCAGCTAGGGCCAGAGTGATTTTTTAAAAAATGTATCTTGGTGTTTTTAAAACTTATTAAATTTATACTTTAATCTCTGATCAGCTTCAGAAAATTTTCAGACTTTAACTTTTTAGGTATTGCTTTGGGCCAGTTTTCTTTCACTAGAATTCTGGTTTTAAGTATGTAACTCTACTGACAACATTCCCTCTTTCTCTTATAGTCTCCTGCTTTGCCATCCCTTCACCTCCATGCTTCTTTTATTTTCTCGTTCACTAGTTCTCTGTTCAGCAGTATGTAGGCTGCTTTTAAAGCCACCCACTGAGTTTTTCAGTTCTAGAATGCACATTTGGTTTTTTCTTTTGTAGTTTCCAATTTCCTGTCTCATTCTCAAAATTGTTTTTTAATTTTTCTGAATATGCTAAGCATAGTTATTCTTTTTAAAATCTGTGTTTGATAAGTGTATTATCTTGATCTTCTGTTGGACTTTTCTATTAGCTCTTAGTTCTCTTGGTTTTTCTGTTATGGTTCCTTTTTTTTCCTTCTGTCCATTATTTTTGATTGGAAACTAAAAACGTTATGTTGAAGAATCCTATATAAAAAAAGCCTAATATGCTAAGTGTCTGGTTGTCCTGTGGGCCGTTCAACCAATCAAAGTGTAATGCTAATGATATGCTAAGGCCGCTCAACCGCTCGCTATGACATGCACTGACCACCAGGGGCAGACACTCAGACTGTTAGGTTAGCCTGCTGCTGGAATCTGGCCAATCGGGACTGAGCGAGATGGGCCAGACACACCCTGGAGCCCTCCCGCGGTCCCTCCTGGGCTGGCCAACCTCCTGTGTCTCTCCCCACTCTGATTGTGCACCAGTGGGGTCCGTCAACCTGGCCTGTGCCCTCTTACAACCCGGGACCCCTCTGGGGATGTTGGAGAGCCAGTTTCGGCTCAATCCCACAGGCCAGGCCGAGGGACCCCACTGGTACACTAATTCGTGCACTGGGCCTCTTGTATAAAAATAATTTGAGGCTTAGTATGATAATATCTTCTTCTAAATAGTATTTGTATTTGCTTTTTGGTTTTTTATTATGTATATGAGCAGTCCTGGATTACTTTAATATTGAGATGATTTAAAATTGGATTGTAGTTCCTATGATGTTTGCAATTCACCTTAACTTCTACAGTATAGACCTTCAGAGCTATAACCCAAAGTGTAGGGGGATTTTGAAATTCCCTTCTTTTTCTTTTAATGTTTTAATTGATTTTAGAGAGAGGGAGAGAGATTTAGAAACATCACTGATGAGAGAGAATCATTGATCAGCTGCCTCTTGCATGCCCCCCACTGGGGATCGAGCCCACAACCCAGACATGTGCCCTGATTGGGAATTTAACCATGATCTCCTGGTCATAGTTCGATATTCAACCACTGAGCCACACTAGCCAGGCTCAAAGTTCCCTTTTCAGTGGGCTCTGGACTCCAACTTCTTCTCTAGCTCTGTACGGTTGTCAAAAGCTCCACTCAGTTTTTCACCTGTCTCTCTAGAATTGGTAACAGCCATTGAGAGAAGCTTCCCTAAATTGTAGGCTTTACTTTTCTTATTTTCTTTACTTTCCTGGATGTTGTTCCCTTGTTAGCTCTTACATGAAGTCAAATAGATTTTTAAAAATACATTTTTTCAGTTTTTTTAGTTCTTAGTGGGAAGGTGATCATATTACCTCTGCCAATTCTAAATGTGAAAGTCTTCCTTATTCTTTTTTTAAAAACTACCATTTTTTTTCTATATATGGGGCATTCAAAATATGTATATTCTGTATTTTCCCAATACATCAACTCAAACAAAACTGGCTTTTGCTGTATAATTATTCTTGATTTTGTTAGTGAATAGAGAATGCCATCTAAGTCTTCTCTTTATATGGGGCAGGCAGAAGTATAATTGTGAGTACACAAAATACAGAGTTTATTCTTGTATTATTATTAATTATTGTATTTGCATACAAACACCTGCAAACCTACTTTTGACCACCCCTGAATTTATATTTCATTTACATTTTCATTTCTTAGAGAAAAATAAGAATATTAGGAATTCTTAATTCAAGAGTTTAAAAAATATACTTTGTGTAGTAGTTATGTTTAATTGAAATTATTTTCAGCAAATTAGCATCAGTAGTTTGAAGTTCTGTACTCTTTCAGTGCTTGGTTACCATACATATTGCTAAACATTCTATCAGACACCATTTCAATGTAGACCACTGAAATCCTGGATCAGAATAAACATATCCAAATAATTAGTCCCTGTAGATACTATTGAAGATTAAACTTGTGGAGAGATAAAGTCCTAGTCTATTATTATCTTCACTGTTTTTGAATTTTAGTTATAGGTTTAAACCATTTTCTTAGTATACATGCTTTGTCCAGGGTCCCCAGGGCCACCCCCATGTTTGGAGGTGAGTTAGCATATAATTGTACTCACAGCTAAGACTTACTACAGTGATGTAATAAGGAGATGCAGATAGATCATAATGAGAAAGGCACAGGTGGGGTCTAGAGAAATCTGTATGTAGGGTTTTTTATGCTCTCTTCTCATGAGAGGTCACAAGGGTTACAATCTTCCCCTAACAACACAAATGCATGTGTGCAATGTTTCTGCCTAGGAAATCCCATTAGAGACTCAGAGCCCAAGATTTTTATTAGGTGCTGCTGGTCATGTAGGCAGCCTTTCCTGAGCACATATCCAAAATTGTAAACTCCCAGAAGGAATGCAGGTGTTCAGCATAAACTGCATACGGTGAGCCACCTTTATCATTTAGGAAAAGTTTTATGTATGTCTTGGAACTGTTTCCCAGATGGTTGTCAGATTTCAGCCAATGGCTTTGCAGGCAGGCCTTTCTTAGGATAGCTGTCTTCAGCCGACTGTGTTATAAACTTTTCTGTACACATGCCTAAAATGACTAATTGTTGAAATTTTCTGTAAACATTGTATGTGAATATCAAAGGCCTCTGTAATAATTTTTGTTTTGATAATTAGTAAAATGTTTATTATTAAACTTAGGTCACTAAAACAGTTGGGTGGTTATAATGTCTTAATATGTTTTATACATGTTATTACTAATGTGCCAGTGCCTGTTGTCAGTTTTAATCCATATGTGGGAAGAACAAGACAGTGTTAGAACATTTAGTACATCTAAAAAGACTGTTTAAAAATTAAATTATAGTGGGAAATAATCTATTATGAAAAGACACTTCAGATGTCTCCTTTTAAAGTTCATATTGAACCACCCACATATTTTTCAGATTTCAGTGGACTTGTTTTTCTATGGGAGCTTTTTTGAGGAAAGTACTTTGCTACTAAGAATTTTGATTAAACAGCTCTCTTGACAACCAGAAATAATTTCTGACTACTATTAGAATCAAATTGGAGAATCTTAGATATTATAGACTAGATTTCTTATTTCCAAATATGAAAGCTGACCCAGGAAATTAAGTGACTATCAGCAAAACTGTGAATAGCTGGTTATTTTCATTTCATTAGGTTTTAGTTATAGATATGCACCTGGAAACATTATTTAAAAATATCAAGAGGCCATGGATTAATTTTGAATTTCATTCTTGGATATCTTTTCATGCCTAATTTGGTCATTTCATTTCATTCAACAAATTTAACAAGTATTTTTTTAATCCTTGTTGTGTGTCAGACACTAGTTTTAGGTGCTCGGTATCAGTTTATTTATTTGTAATCAAATTAAAATCTGTTCCATTAAGGGTAGGTTGGAGCTGCCTGTTATTCTGTAGGTTCTTAAGTATATGCATTTATTACACTGGATCCTGGTCCCTCAAGATATTTTATCTCTTTTTTTCCTCCCCTTAAGGTAATACTGCATTGCATGATTGTGCAGAATCTGGAAGTTTGGACATCATGAAGATGCTTCTAATGTATTGTGCCAAGATGGAAAAGGATGGTTATGGAATGACTCCCCTTCTCTCAGCAAGTGTGACTGGTCACACAAATATTGTGGATTTTCTGACTCACCATGCACAGACTAGCAAAACAGAGCGGATCAATGCTTTAGAGCTTCTGGGAGCTACATTTGTAGACAAAAAAAGAGATCTACTTGGGGCTTTAAAATACTGGAAAAAGGCAATGAACATGAGGTACAGTGATAGGACTAATATAATTAGCAAACCAGTACCTCAGACACTAATAATGGCTTATGATTATGCCAAGGAGGTAAACAGTTCAGAAGAGCTAGAAGGTCTTATTGCTGATCCTGATGAGATGAGAATGCAGGCACTATTAATTAGAGAACGTATTCTTGGTCCTTCTCATCCTGATACCTCTTACTATATTAGGTATAGAGGCGCTGTCTATGCAGACTCTGGAAATTTCAAACGATGCATCAACCTATGGAAGTATGCTTTGGATATGCAACAGAACAATTTGGACCCGTTAAGCCCAATGACCGCCAGCAGCTTATTATCTTTTGCAGAACTGTTTTCTTTTATGTTACAGGATAGGGCTAAAGGCCTGCTGGGTACCACTGTTACATTTGATGATCTTATGGGCATATTATTAAGCCCAATGACCACCAGCAGCGTATTATCTTTTGTAGAACTTTCCTTTATGCTACAGGATAGGGCTAAAGGCCTGCTTGGTACCACTGTTACATTTGATGATCTTATGGGCATATTGTGCAAAAGTGTCCTTGAAATAGAGCGAGCTATCAAACAGACTCAGTGTCCAGCTGACCCCTTACAGTTAAATAAGGCTCTTTCCATCATTTTGCACTTAATTTGCTTGTTAGAAAAAGTTCCTTGTACTCTAGAACAGGACTACTTCAAAAAGCAGACTATATACAGATTTCTTAAGCTGCATCCAAGGGGAAAGAATAACTTCAGCCCTCTTCATCTGGCTGTGGACAAGAATACTACATGTGTAGGGCGGTATCCTGTTTGCAAATTTCCATCTCTGCAAGTTACTGCCATACAGATAGAATGTGGTGCTGATGTGAACATCAACAGTCCCCTACATATTGCTGCTCTGAACAACCATCCAGACATCATGAATCTCCTTATCAAATCAGGTGCACATTTTGATGCCACAAACTTGCACAAACAAACTGCTAGTGACTTGTTGGACGAGAAAGAAATAGCTAAAAATTTGATCCAGCCCATAAATCATACCACATTGCAGTGTCTTGCTGCTCGTGTCATAGTGAATCATAGAATATATTATAAGGGGCATATCCCAGAAAAGCTAGAGACCTTTGTTTCACTTCACAGATGATAATTTGACTGTATTTTAGCACTGTTAAAGCACGAATTATTAACAGTTGTTTCATAAATGAGCACTGTTGTGATAACACCAGCATTCATTTAGCTTGATATCATCGTGCTCCCATTGGCTAAAACATTATAAGCATCAAATTTACAGGATTGGTTTCCCAGTATTTACTATAAATATACCATATAATATATTGTTTGTGAATTATTGAAAAATGTAATGTCATAATTCAAATTTCTAAAATTGTCTGCCAAAGGCTTATTCATTCTAGTTTTGTTTGCTGTTGGGTTTTTGGGACAGAGTTAACCATTCTTCAGTGGTATCTTTATACCCTTCTGGTTTGTGAATTTTATACAATTGAAGGTCTTTCTTTTCTGCTTTTTTCCAAGCTTCTCCCATTTTCACTTTATATTTTTTCTAACCATTTCTACTTATCATTTCCCCATCCCCTTATGGACCCATAAACTTTATGTACAAACTTTATGGACTCGTTACCATATGCAGTTACCATAAGTGCTTTATCTTCTCTACGCACCGGCTTAAACTTGACTGTTGTATATTAGCATATTTTCTATGCAGCAGTTGATCAACTTCAACTCAAAACACTGTTGAGTTTGTTACAAAGTTCATTTTATGAAAGTACTCTTGTAGCATGGCAATTTTTAGAGCTATTGGTTAGCTACCTGAGCTCAAGCTTTTTTTTCTTCCACATCTGAGATTTCTTTCTCTAATCCACTGAAGTTATTATGTGCTAAATTTGGGAAACAAATCTAATTCATTAACCCAGTTGAAATTTAGGTCTGTCATCTTAATATATCATGCAGTAAAAGGAGGAATCTTTTTAAAGTGACCCACCTTTCATGCTGTGCCAGCATTGTCCTGCTTGTGCTGATGAAGTGATTAGGTATAGAGAAGCTTAAATTTAAACTAAAATTTATCACACAGCTTAATGAGTCACATTGAAATATTCAGTAATTGAACTGCAAATCATTTTTAGTTACAAAAAGAGCTAAAGCATGTCAATGGCATGATGCTTGCCAGGCCAAATCTAGACATCTAGGATAATTAAGATATTTTAGTATGCAATTGACTGCCATTGTATCAAAGGTCAGTAGCAGTGTTCTTTCTTTCTTCAAGCTTAAGTATACCTTTAAAGATAACTTGCATGAATTATTTTGGTCTCAATTATTTGTCACCATAGTTAAACACACAAGGTTGCAGTGCTTTTCCCTTACTGAAAGTTAGCTTTTCTTTACTTTTTTTCCCCCCCTCAGTGTTTTTTAAACAGCTTTACTAATGCCACAGAAAGGGCTCTTTTAACTTAAGATAAATGAAACGTACTAAAAAAGATTCAGGTAATTATTATTCAGCACTTTATTGTTTTTCACAATAAAATTTATGATGGCATATTTGCCCTGCAAATGTCTTACTTAATGAAATTGTTATAAATAAAAACTCCTTATTGGTTTGAGAAAAACTTGGTTTACCTGTGAGTTTAGTGAGCTGGATCACTGGGATTTTTCTGTCATTTTATTCTGAGGGTTGATGTACTAGTATTTAAGGAGTCGTCATTGCAAACAGTCACATTAGGTTTATTTCATCTTTACTCAGTAAAATACTTGTAATGAAGAATAGTAAATAAATAAAACGGCATTAGACTTTGTGGTTAAATAATTGAGGTTTAATTTTTAAAAAGATATCCTTATTTTACTAGGTTGTAAATTTAATTTCACCATTAAAAGAGGTGAATTGGATTTAAATGGTTCCTCTCTAATCTTTTGATGAAGAGATTTTAATATCTTACCATGGGCAAATTTGATGAAATATTTGAACTGCCACATATATTAAGAATAATTTGTGATTTAGACAAGTATTCTAGAAAAAGCAGACATCAATATTTTGAAACCATTGACTCTAACCTTGTGATACAAGAATTATATATGCCTCAGCTAATTTTTTTTTTTTTAAAGAAACTGTTGCCAGTAGAATAAATCTACACTAGTTGATCGCAATAATTTTTGGGTAAAAGATGAGCAATTGGATTTTTAAGTGATTTAATATTTCCTCCTTTTTTGGGAGTGGGTAGAAGGGCCTACATGCTCTTATAGTAAGGCACATCTCACACTGTTGTACAGGTGAACTTGAATTGTACAACCCTAGTATAAATTAAGGATTTCTTTACTTAGCATTTTTCCACCACTAAATTTAGATAACTTAGAACTGTTCATCAATCTTGATAACTTGAAATGCCTTATTTCACTTAAGATGCAATTCTACTCTGTTTGCCATTTCCCCAAATGCCATTAGGAGTGCTTGAAAAATCAGTTAGTTTAATAGCTAAAAATTGTCCATGATTTTTAGAGGAGGTTGGTAATGTGACCTGAGACACTGTTTAGGCCTTTGTCAGAAAGTATTCTCAAAATTGTTGTGAGACTGAATAAGATAAAAATTTTGTGGGTTTTTTAAAAAACCACAAATGAGTAATTTAATACTTAATGAGCTAATTGTCATTTGAGTCCATCTAAACTACATTGTAGCATGGTGATGTTGGCTGGAGTTAATATGTAAGTTTTTATTACATTTCTATAAAAATGCCCTGTTAAGGCCTGCTGAATTTTAGATGTTCCACTAGTGATCATTTCTGTAAAAGAAATGGTCACTCTACTCAGATTTGATACTAGTCCACTTTATAAAGACAAGTGGATTATAGATTTAAAAGATCGTCATTTTCTTATCCATAAATATGACAGGCACATAAACCCAAATCAGTAACAGATAATTTGGTGCCCAGTATGATTTTGAAGTTAAGTAATTGCTCACTTGTAAAGTGACTACCTAATGTATAATATTTTAGAGACCCCCATCTACTGTGACTTGGGAAAATTGTTAGGCTATATTTGAAAAATTAGTTCTTTAAAATCATATTGCCCAGCAGAAACCTAGGTTGACTTTTACAGGTATAATAATCCTTGTAAATTAATTTCTCAGAATTGTGGGGGCTGAATGAGAGAATAATCATTCTTGTGCACTCTAACAGCATTATTGCTTGGAACTTTAACCATTTTAGAGTTAGATACTAAGGAAACTAAAATTAATTGGTCATCATCTTCCCCCCTTCCCATTATATGTCATTAAACAACTAGTTTCTCTCCCTTTTGTCCATTCCCATTGTGTATTTTTTCAGAAGAAGTACTGTATTCAGGTGCCAGCCAATAAATTGTCACACAATGGAAAATGATATGCCACAACATTCATTGTAAGGTCTAATAAAATTAAATTTGCACCAAATACAAGTGTATTTTTATTAACTCTTAATACTTGATTGATGTTATCTTAATGATTTTTGATAGCAGACTCTTGCTTCAAAGAACAATTTATGGTTAGAACTTAAGACAGCATTTATTATTAATATTTCTATGTAAAAAAGATGACTTAGGTACAGGTTTGTGTTTTTTGGGGGGGTTTTTTTCAGTGAAGACCATAGAAACTAAAGATGGGAAGACTTGTTGTCAAATGCATGGGAGAGGGATTGCTTTTAACTCATTGTTTTTAAACTGCTTTGGTATTCAGTATCAGAAGCATGTCATAAATATATTACTATGAAGGTAAGTTTTAGAAATTTATTTCCATCACTTTTAAATCATAAAACCTAAGTGCTCATTGTCTTTTCCTTATATGTAATCTTCCTAATACAAAAAGATTTAATAGGTCTAGAAAATGCACTGGCTGTAATTTCTACACTCTCATGCATAGACAAATATTCAATAGAGTAGGCTTCCCCCTTTTGAATCATTAACCTGCCACATCCATAACAAGTACATGCTTTGCCATCCTTTTGACAGACCCTTTTAAACCATAGTTTTCTATACCCTTGGTTCTGTGGTTGTCCCTGAACACCACCACCAATATTTAAAAGAAAGTTGAAATTTATAGGGTAAGGATATTATATTTTTAAGGATTTGAACAAAGAAAAGTCATGTCCTCAAGATACTCCTTTTAAAATATTTTTTTAATCCTTTCTCCCATCTCTGTACTATCAGCAGGTTCTTTCTTGAATAACTTGGGGTTATGGGAATTGTGAAATAATTGGTTCCTTGGTGCCATGCTATCTTACATTTTGTTTATTGTAAAGACTTTTAAATAAGATCTCTAGTAAAATGAACTCAACTTTATATAATTATCTCAGATGTATAATTTATTTTCCTAATATTTGATATAAAAATTAAACTATAGTTCTCTGCCTTAAAAAATTGAAAATTTATACTTACAAAAGGAATACATTTAAAACATTCACATTAAAGAAGGATTTAAAGAGTAGTAGTTAAACTAAAACAATTTAGGTGCTTATTAACCACTCTATACTTTGCTGTAAATCAAGAAGTGAAGTGGTTTAAATTATTTGACATTATTGCCAAAAATAAAAATGGAAAAAAAGATTCAGTCTATTCTAGAAAAAATATTTCCAAAACTTTCCAGTAAACAATCCCTTGTAAAGTGAGATCTACTTTAAAGACATATTTGAGCCTTATTTATTTCCTTTTTTCCTTTTCTGAAAGACCAAATATAACTTTGGCTGGTTTACATAATAGTTAACCAGTATTAATTGATCCTAGGATTGGTACTTACAATTGAATGTCTTTGTAGATTATAAAACTTTATTTGTGGTAATATTTAGTCCTAGAATTTAGCAGCCACCTTGATTTCTTAAGACAAAATATTTAATCTACTCATTACAAGGGCTCAACTGGAGACATTTAAAAAACCAGAAAACGAAAATGACACTGCAGCTTCATACAACGTCCTACACAGCAATCAAAGAAAGAAGAGACCATCAGGAGAAAAACAGCAACACAAGATGGGCAGGTCAGGGCTCTTGGAGGGAGACCTGCTGTGAGTAGTTTCCTTGCAGGTTCTCAAAGGTTGTGGGTGTTTCCAGAACTTAGCAGCATGTGTGTTCAAAGGGCTATTGGTGTTGGGTTCTCAGCAAGCCCTGCATGGAGAGCAGGATGGGCTGACCATTTGTCCTCCAGGATGTCCAGGCAGAAGTGACCGGTGTCCACGTGGTGGTGGTGAGTGGGCTGTGACGACACTGTGACAGTAGGTAGGCTCTGTGACTGTAGCCATTGGTGAACTCCCTGGAGAGGCTTCAGATCTTTACTGACTGTTCTGGCTGCTCTGTGGATGGTCCGCCCATTTGAAAAGGACCAAGTCAGGGAAGGCAGAAATTCTCTTGTCGCCAGAGAATTATCATGAGGATTATCAGCTCCTGCTGGAGCCTCTTGCCCAGGA